AAAAGTTAAATTTTTATAATAATTTACTTGATTGAAAATGATATTTGCTTCTTTAACAACATCAGATATATCATTCTATTTTCAGCATTATTTCTTTTTCTTTCTCTATTTCTTAAAGGTTTAATTGTTAGATCCCAAATATGGATAGAATTAGAAACAAGTTTATTATATAGCTTATTGAAAGACCTATTTCAGAATATAATAATTGCTCTAAAAATTATCAATAATAGACTATACCTAGATATTAAAAAATATCATAATGAGGAACCTAAGTATTACGAGTATTATGATGTAAGTAGCAATATTATTTATCGAGAAAAACTTCTGGATGGCATAGAACATCATTTTGGCCTTTTAAATTAGTAAAATGAAAATGTAAGTAATAGTTACAAAAAACAATATTGTTTGGTGATTCATGAAAAATATTTTTATGCTCTTTTTGATCATAATAAAAGCCCAATTTATGTAGTATTTGAAGAAACTTCTATTTAAAAAAGTTATATCCTTTTTCAACAAAAAACTGTTATAAGGAATATGTAGAAAATTATTCAGCTATTTTATTAGCATCCAAAATTTTTATACATAATAATTTTAATATATTTTCATTAGATTGCAATTTAGGTTGTTTAAGAGATTTATGTGATATAAAAGTATTATCATCATGTTTGTTCCAGTTTGATATCATACTTCCGACTATATATTCTGCTATACCCAATACCTCAACAACTCGCTTGCATAATGTAAGCTACTAATGATCATTCTTTCTAGAGTTAGCCTTTGAAAAATGATTGTAAAAGTTAATTATCACCATTTTTTCATTATCAGTTAATGGTGTGTCACCTTGTTTTATAAAGAAACTATACATGGTAAGATAAAAAAAATTTAATAAAAATTCTTTATTTAAAGTTGTTTTAATATATATATTTTTTTCTACCCTTCTTTATTTTGATCAACAGTACTTATCTTAGTGTAAATCTGATTCTTTTTAAATGAGATACAAATTTTTTTGCACTAATCCAGATTTATAAATTGATCTACATGTAAGATATTGACATTGTTGACATTTAAGATTGCTTGTCTAAACTCATTTTGGATTTGGCTAAATGTTTAATCCTTTAATTTTGCTAAATTTTTACTAAGTGTTTGATATAGTTTTGCTATTTTTATAAGCTTTGATATAGTTTTACCTTTTCTGAATTTTGCAGATTTTTTAATAAAATTTTAATATAATTTAACCAAGTTTTACTTTTATCATTTAGACCTTATTACGTCTGATTTGTAACTCAAATAAAATTTACAAAATTAATAATGCTAAGACTAAACTTAGGGAATTACAATGAAGATTCTTAGTAAACGTCAAAGATTATTCTTAATTACACATGAGAACTTCTGGATATTTCAGAGATTATGTTTCAGTAACTATACCTTAAGTTAATACAACGAATCAATACAATATCACGCAAAATTAATAAACAATAATAATATATATACAAGTTAAAAGGTTGCGAAGGATAAGTTTTAACTTGGTTAATTATACGTTTTATTAATAATATAATAAATTGTAAGTTCTCTACCTCGTAAGGTCATAAGGTAATAATTTCATCCAGTGAAATATTATCCTTACTCCTTCTTAAGGTATGTATTAATTGATAGATTTATTCATTTGTATCATTTCTCGATAAAATTACAAAGGTATTTATACATGTTTGATAATTATAAAATAAAACTAAACTAAATATATCTATGAAAATAAAATGATATCGTCAAGAAAATAAAGTTGACAAAATTAATCAGCAAAGTTGATAATATCAATAAATTTGCCCGTTGCACTGGAAATAAAATTAACATCTGGATTTACAATGTTTTACATTGATTATCTCAGGACATAAAGTTGATATCAAAATAAATGAGATGTTAAACAAGGACATTTAATTGACATTGGATTTGTAAGCAGATTTTAGCTAAAAATTTGTACTATTACAACATCTGTCAAAACTTTAAATTTCGTTCAGCAATCTTTCTTATTGATATTATTAATATAATTAACTATTGAACTAGTACTATTACACTTTTAGTAATGCTTTATTAATTAATTTGATTCAATATATAATTTAGTATTTTTTATGCATTTTTTATTGGTTAAGAATGTTTATTATAATAATTATTAGTCTAATAACCCAGTTTTAATAATTTAGCTTCTATATTATTTTTTTGATATAATATATATTATTTTAATTTGTAATAAAAATTTATTCTGAGATTTAAAATTTAAAAAGTAGAATATATAGTTATATCTTATTTATATATATACTAAGTATAATAATTATATACAGTGAACTCTTGATATAACGAATTCTAAGATCTGGATATCAACTTCGTTATAAGCTTATAACGAATTTTTTAAAGAATTTAATTGGCTAGTTCACTATAGTAAAGGTAATTTTAATATATTTGATTTAAAAATTCGCTATATCAAGAGTTCGCTATATCAAGGTTTGACTGTACTAGTTTTTTTTTGTATTTCCTTTGCTGACTTAATGCCATTAAGCCAGTAATGTCGAATTGTTTGCCTTTGAGCTTCTAACCTTGTACTAACCATCTTTGCAAAGAAAAAACACAAAAAAAAACAAAGGTAAACAAAAATTTACTTATAAAATCACGTTTTTCTAAATTTGGAAATATTAAATTAATGTTTTGTTTATGATCGACATTATATAATTTTATAATTTATTTGCAAAAAAAAATTATTTTATTGACTGCCGTTTTTTTCGTTACATACTGTATATGAGCATAGTAATATATTTTCAAAATTCGTTATAATGCTCTTTATTCTATCTTAATATAGCCCAGTTTTTGCAGTAACCTGACTAAAACATAAAGTCACAGGTGGACTCATGTATAAAAGAAAAGAACTCGTAAAATTTTTAATGGACCAAATAAAGAAAAAATTGTTATCCTTAAATGTGTTTAAGAAATTGGAAGGTAAATATAATAATTGTAGAATATACAGTATATATTTTTATTACTTTTGACATTCTTTGCTCATGTTCAGCTCGACATAAAGCAGTATTTCTACCAATTCAACATCTGTAAGTATAACATCAAGTCAAAGTTTTCGTACTTCAATCAATTCAATAAACTATAATAAGCAATGAATGCAGTATTATTACCGCCTATCTAATTTTATTACAAGAATCACCCAATGCATCATTTTTCATATTGTTCATATGAACGTTATTGGTTTTCTCAAGATATCTTTGTAGAACCTCCTCCTTATAAATCATAAAAATGTCATTACAGTCATTGCATTTTTGTATAGTTTTTAATAAATTACAGATAATATTAACGTGTAGATGTTTATAAAAAAATTTTAAATAAATAAAAAACAAATAACTTCTATTTGCATTAAAATCCTGAAAGAAATACAAATTCCCTACTGACTCTTGTAAGTTAGTATGTAGAAAAAACCATTGGAAAATTGGAAGGCAGTTTTGAATCTTAAATTAGTTTAAAAAAAAGTCATTATTCCACCTTTTTTGATGATCATTTAAATAATATTCACTACGGATAAACTTGCTGTAAACAAAAACAATTATTTTGGCAAATTTTATTTTTATTAGAAAATAATGCTACAATATATCTCTCATGAACAAACCACTACATCTATTTCAAATATGGTGACAGTTTTATAATGATGATACAGTCGTCCCCCTCTATAGTCACTCCCTGTACAATCACATCATATAAATCCCTCATTATAAGCACACATTTCGTAAGAACCAATACCTATTAATGCAATATAAAAAAACCTCATTATAATCACAGTGTTTTTATAGTCACACCCTACGCTTAGTAACAACAAATAAAAATCCCCCTGTATAGTAACTTTTTATTATAATCACACTTTTTATTTTTGGTACCAGAAATGACGTCATTTCATTTTTCGAGGCTCTAGACCCTGACATTTTCTGATATATATAAAGGTTTAATTAATGCTTTAATAATAGTTTTATAAATGTATGCTTCGTTTAATATCGAAATAAAAACCGAAGTTCTTCAAAAATTATCTTAACAGCCCTAAAATTTTATAATCACATGTTATTTTAGTGACGATAGCAACCATAAAAAATAATATCTTGAGATAAGAATAAATGGAATTAACAGAAATCTAATATTTAAAAAATTGTTTAAATTTTAATAAAGTACTATGCTATTTTAATAATTAAAGTTCGAAATGCGCTTACCTATTCCAGTGTTATTTCGCACATCAATCGAAGAATTATAACGTGTTAAGAACAACAATGATCATGCATATGATTGCTCTAAAAGAGAACGTGTATTAGGTATTATTTGCGGGTTCATTATTGGCGAATTATATTGTTAATAAATCGTTTCTGCCTGTTTACATATCTGAAATAATTAACTTCTCTTGAATTCCCAATCCGGGCAAAGCGCAGTATTTTCATTAATTAGTGTAACGGAACGAACCAATCAGCATCGGTCAATTTTGAGCGGGAACTTCGACGAGTTTTAGATTTGAGAAAAAGTCATTTAAAAAATCTTTGTGTTAGGTTTCGAATAGCATCATTAAAGGTTTTGTTATCGTGACGGACCGATCCGGTCCAATATGATTTGAACCTTCAGATTGGGATCGCAAACCGTCTCCTGAGACAGCATATATGCACAAATTTTAAAATTAGGGAGTGTTTCGAATTAATAGATTTTAATAGGTTCGAGTTTATGCTAAGTTGTGCAAACATCTGCGCAATAATTTAAACTGCTTCAACTGCGGATGATTGTAAAGTTATAGTTTTGAGACGCGTTTTTTCACTTATGTATTTCGTTTTTATTTACTTAAGAACGAACTATCTTTTTTACACTCCTTTGAAATAAATCTCTATATATCTTTATCTTTTTTTTTTTCTTTACCTTCTTTAAAGCTTTACGCTTTTTTTAAATCTACCAAAATATTCGCATCAAATAAATACGACCTTTATAACATGGCTCACGTAAGTATATTAACTTATAATTAATTTTTATAACCGTTGTGGGACCAGATCCTTTTAGTTCTTACTCCCTTTTATATTTTATGATGAATCAACAGAGGTTAGGTGGACGTAGAAAGAACGTTAAAAAAGGTTTCCAATTTACTCTTATGGTAGTTGGTAAGTGTCTATTTTATAACCGGGAAGCTTTTAAACCTTTTTTTCATTTAGGAACTTTTAAAACTTTTTTATCCCATAACTTTTTGTTTGATACTTGCAGGCGCGTCTGGAATCGGTCGCTCTACCTTTGTAAACACACTGTGTGGTAGTGAAGTTTTAACCAAAAAACTCTGCGATTCTCCCGAAACTGCGCATGTGGAAGAAGGTATTCGTATCAAACCCGTCACAGTTGGTTAGTACTCATCCAGGACTTGTAATTTTTCATTTTTTTAAAAAAAAACCCTATCAAATTTAATCTAATTCAAAACATATTTATAGAATTGGAAGAAGATGGTGTCAGAATTGCCTTAACAATTGTAGATACTCCTGGGTTTGGTGACAATATTGACAACGAATTTTGGTAAATTCTTTTTTTTAATATCTTTTCGTAATTTAGTACAAAAGTAATCAAGATCGATTTAAAATTTTTGTCTAGTTTTCAAGAAATTATGGGATATCTAGAAAGACAGTATGATGACATCCTTGCTGAAGAATCGCGAATCAAACGTAATCCACGATTTAGAGATAATCGCGTACACGCTCTTCTTTACTTTATTACTCCAACAGGTCATTCGTATGTATCTGCATTAATTTCTTTTTATTATGGCAAATTTGTTTTTGACAAACATATATTTTTTTTGTAGTCTCCGTGAAATCGATATTGAATTAATGAAACGATTGAGTCCACGTGTCAATGTGATTCCTGTTATTGGCAAAGCAGATACTTGTACACCAACCGAATTAGCTGAATTTAAAAAGAGAGTATGTTATGTAAAAAAAAATTCATAAGCGTGTAATGCCTACATGGGAGACTGTTCTTATGAATTGTTTACATCTTAATAGATTATGGAAGATATCAATCACTATAATATTCCAATTTACAACTTCCCATTCGATATAGAGGAAGATGATGAGGAAACTGTTGAAGAAAATGGAGAACTAAGGGTTAGCTATTGGAATAAAGTAAACCTTTTTATATATATTATATTATATATGATATTGATTTATTTGCATTTGTAGGCCCTTTTACCCTTTGCCATTATTGGTAGTGAAGAAGAAATTCAAGTAAATGGAAGGTCCGTTCGCGGGCGCCAATACCCATGGGGTGTTGTTGAAGGTAACGATATATACCTCGAATATGATTACATCATCCGTTCACATGAAACTCAAAATTTTTTTTTTATAGTTGATAATCCACAACACTCAGACTTTGCTAGATTACGATCGGCCTTGTTAAGGTTAATATTAGTCATAATTGCCTTTTTATTTCTTTGAAGATTTGAAAATTCTAACCTGTTCAATGATCTTAGCTCTCATTTACAAGATCTGAAAGAAATAACTCATGATTTCTTGTATGAAAATTATCGTACAGATAAACTTAGTCGAAGTGCTGATTCCCCTGTCGAGTAAGCATCATTATTATATTATATCATATTATACCCTAATTATGCATACATATTACACATATTACACATGATAGATAATCACCTGATATATAAATTTTAGGGAAACCTCGAATAATATTTTACCGGAAGAACTTACTTCTCAAAGTGTTAGATTGAAGGAAGAACAATTAAAACGCGAAGAAGAGAAAGTAAGTTCGCGTGCATTATTTCACAATATCTGAAATCGCGTTAATGATTTTCTATTTTCCATATTAGTTAAGAGAAATTGAATTGAAGGTTCAACGTGAAATCACCGAAAAAAGACAAGAATTGCTGGCTAAAGAAGAGGCCCTTAGAAGTTTGGAAGCACGATTAGCACAAACCCAAGAAAATAATAATTAATAATTAATAATTAATAATTAATGTGAATTTAAAATAATTATTTATTATCTATCTTTAGAATATTTGAATTAGAGCTCGTACCTTTTTTTTTTTTTAATTATATTGATATAAATTAATTATTTGCTTTATCATTTTATTTTGAGTAGTTAATTTTTTTTTTTTTTAATATTTTGTGGCCAATAATAAACATTTCGTACTTATCGTAGATCATTTCTGTTAAAATATTTTTTTATCGTAGTAAAGATTTCTGAGGGTGTTGTATTCCTGATTGGGAAAATCGTAAGACGATAAAATGGTCATTCCCCAATTCGCTGATTCGTTAAAAGTAATTAAAAGTAATGAAATTTAGTCGACATGTATCATCAAAACACTTGCAACAAATACACTCTTATGGTCCGATCTACTGCTCTGTGTTAGGAAAAAATATACTTCTGATATTACATTCAGAGTAAGTAGTTAGATTATCTAATCGTTCATGAAGAACGATACTCAAACTTTCGTTCTAATCGGATTAACTAATCGATTAACGCTCACCCTCCCATCCTAACGAATCCAGGTCTTTTAAATAATAAATTTTTCTTTTTTTTTTTTCTTTTTATTTATACTGCGGTAACGTGATTCGATTTTTATTTAGGCAATTAACGAGACAATCAATTAATCGACGAGACAATCGCAAAGTTAACAATAAATATTTTTTTTGCGATTGTCTCTTCTTGATTTGATTCTTTAGCTCAATCAACAATTAGATATCGTGAGATATATTATTATGAAAAAAAAAATTAAAATCAATAAAGTTTAATTTAAAAAATAAAACTTATATTTTAACCCACCTGAAAAATTATTTTTTTAAAAATATTTGTTTTTTTTTAAAAAAAAAAGTAAAATTACATTTGTCTCATAATAAAAAATAAATTTTCACTTACCTTTTACTTTCTCGATTTGAAAAATGCCTTCAAAACTTGAGACATTTTGTTATATATACGACTCTAGAGAGAGGGTTGCACAAGATTTTGTGATCAAAGAGGTTACCGGTGTCGTAAAAATGTCTGAAACGGACTTTACTAAGGTGACCTACTTACAGATAAAGGCTTTCACCTTGATAGACAAAATAATTAATCATAAAATCAATGACTTTGAAGTGAGTACCTGAAAGGAAAATTTATCGGATGTCCTAATTGGTACACGATAATGAATTTTTTTTGTTTTTGTGATCATTTGTATAATCTCGATATATAAAAAAATTGATCATTAAAAATACTTACATTTCAATAGGTGAATGTGACTTGCATGAAAGTTGTTTGTTTCGACTTCAACAATATGCTGATAACTGAAATAAACGTCATTGTGATAGGGAAAATGATGTAAGTAATGAGAAATGTCAATGGTAAATCAGCTTTGGATTTCTATGTAGAAGAGCGACTCAGAAAAAGAGAATCCCGTAACTTCTGAGTAGAAGTTTATCATGACTCAAATAATACCTATCTCGTGAATAAGATGAACACAATCAACTAAAGTATGAGATTGATAACTGGTCTCTTAATTGATACTATAAGTTATATTCAATAGACTCTTGACACTTCTTCAGGTGAAGAATCGATCTCAGAAAAGCATATTATAGACTTTGATTGATCCTGACAATTTTGAACCAAAATCGCACCAACAATAGATCGTTTAACCTGCTGTGATCCAATACTAGTCCTAATCAGAGTAATGAAAAGACTACTTGATCTCTGATTTCTACCACTAGAAGACCTAGAAGAGGTCATTAAAGTTATTACAAATGAATGTGATGATTACCATCACTGCCACAACAATAATCATAGCAGATCACAATATCGAACCTAGACTAACTCTAAAATCAATTAGAAATATGAACCTGATTTCTATCGGTATTAATTTCACAATGATACCACCATCAGATGAACAAAAAATAAATCATCAATAATTCTGATGCCAATTTATTGCATTACTTCACCTACTTAAATACTAAAAAATGAATTCATTTGTTCATAAATAAACTGCAACTTTTAACCTAAAATCTTCATTCATTATATTTTATGACGCTGACCTCTGATAATAAAAAAAGATCATAATATCATTTGAGATAAGGAAGTTTAAAATTCAAATTGATATGCTTTAATCTGGAAAATTTATAAATTACATGGTGATTTTCTCACAAATTTAAACAATTGTTATTTTTAGAATTATGATAGACCGTAAAACTCAACGTCACCTAAAAGCTGAATAAAACAATACTTGATTGAACTACAACAAATATTACATCTATCACACTGAGTAATTCTAACATCCTTCCACCTGAATCCACTTCAACCCATATTACACTAATCATCTCTCAACCTTTAAATATGATCATCATACATTGGAAACCCTCAACTAGTGTTGTACATTTTTTATATCCAAAGCATTTTAAGAATGTTCAACACTATGTTTAAAACTATCTAACATTATATTCAAATTATTTAAATGTCTAACACGATGTCTAAAATATTGTTCAAGAATGTCTTGTGACAACACTACCCTCAACTGCATTGCAAAGACTTTATGATAGGTTTTAAAATAATATTTTAGGATAATATTCTTAGATCACTTGCATCTATTGTGAAAGGCTCCTATATTTAGAAAAAGCTTCATAGATCTTTTACAACCTATCAATCACCTACCCACTACAATAATGCATTCCAAATATCGCCTTATCATTCAACCCAAATACTACATCCCTGAATTAAGAATACCTATCTGTGAATCATGTAAAAACCCTTCTATAAGATACATGTTCTCTCATCTGTCTCCTATACCACAAGAAATCCTTTAGTTTCTTGCATAAGAGGAAACATCTTTCTCTAGTTTACTTACACTATTTATTAAAAAGAATTCCAAATAGCAACCCTTTTTCAAAATATAGATGCTTGACTAAATCAATGAATTACTCTTATTCCTTAGATTGTCTAGCAGGCAAATTTGCCTGCGAAATTAAAATAATTGTTAATTTCTTTATAAAATATTAAATATTAATTTTAATAATATTATTACTATATAAAAAATATATTTTAATATATATTTTATTAACTTTATTAACAAAGATTTTAAGTTTTTTAAAAGGTTTTTAAAATAATTTAATTATAA